CATCACTCAAATGCTTCCTGATGAATATTAGTCAAAGAGTTCATCATGAATATTGTTCACATATTTAACGCGATTATTATTCAAACACTTCATCATGAACTACGGTCAAATGGTACAACATGAATATTATTCAAATATTTCATCATGAAATTTAGTAAAATCGTTCATATTGAACATCACTCAAATGCTTCCTGATGAATATTAGTCAAAGAGTTCATCATGAATATTTTTGACGTATATGTGGTCGTGGAATGACCTAACGGTAGTATAGGGAGCAAGGCCTTCCCCAATTAACCGCTAATCTAACAATTAACACCCGTCGCAAAAGGCTGGGTCATAGACAAACACCACAGTTTGGCTCGCTATCCAAGGCCTACGGGTTCTCTACGAAACGAATCGTGGGGGTAGCGAGGTCAGCTCAATAAGCCACCACCACGCCTATATCTTTTGCTGCTCTTGATCGAGTCTAGGATATCCATGAAGTCCGTGTATGTCCAACTTATCATAAGCATGTGTCTAAAAGAAGTTTTGTTTGCCCCATGAACTAATATGCACGGGTGAGATTTCCAATTTTGCCAATTTATCTGTCGTCTCTGCAGACGAAGCCTTACAGTTACTCATGACGTAGGATCAATATTTATCCTTCCATCTCCTGCTGCAGAGGAGGTTTGAACAGTGTTCATCATCGTCGGTAACTCATTTGTCACATCAGTGACATCCGGTTTATTATCAACGTCTAATTGATTCCGTTCTGCGTTAGCATACGTTTCAGCGGCACAAGACATATGCTCAACAATAGCATCGTCATCACATATCACTGTAGACTGTCTGTTACCATCAAACATTTTCTTCTCATCATCACTCGACTGACGGTCAACCGTAATAGGAACAGTTACAGCTGCACAACCTTGTGCATCTTCAATCGACTTAACCTTCGTGACGAGGTCCAACGGCGTCGAAACACTAGGAGGCTCACTCGATGAAGTCGATAAACTAGTCCCTATAAGTGGACTGCTGACACTTTCTATATCCTTATTATCACTGTGACTATTGAGGTTCTGATGGCTACTATTTCCATAGCTAGTCGTAGCATCCGTAAGAGCATGAGGTTCAGGCTTCTTAGTAATAGTAGCATCATGTCTCCTAGGCTTCTTAGCCGTTACTGTTCCACCATCACTTATCCTAGAAGCTACTCTAGGTCCAGTTATATAATTTACCCTAACTGAAGGGTTCCGAAAATAAGCTTTATTCCGTTCAGTCAATCCTGTCTGGGCTTTATTCATATTTGCTGAACTCACCAACCTCTGATTACTCGAATCCAAATTACCGTTCCAGGCCTTTCGAGCAGCTAAAAGGCTTTTATCGTCACACACTCCGGATCCATCTTGATGCCTACCTTTTTCACCTTTTTCTTTCTTTTCTACACTTAGAAAAGCCATCTTATCTGTTACACCATCCGGCTTCTTACGAGGACACGCATCAAGAGAATTTACATCGTTACGGTCACGTACTCGTACTTCATCAGCGTATGCTTTCGTGATATAATTGACAATTCTCTTATCTTCCGAGTATGCTTTAGGTAGAAACGAAGAATCCGAATGTCTCGCACGCAGACCACTAGTAGCTTCCGTATTATTTCCTGTTTTAGCCTGATAAGCTAATCTTCCAAACCTACTACCAGCTATCTTAGCACGAGACATAATAAATTCCGTCAATTCGTTAAAATTGGGCTCTCTCTCCTCTTCGTCCCACTTGAATACTAGCTCTGCCCACTGGGCTTGCATTCGACGAGGTAGGAGCCTTACTATTCGTTCTAAAGTAGTCATAGAGTTAAGTTCAGCTGTACAATTTAACTGTTCTAAAGTTAAAGAAGCATTCTGCATTTTAATGGCCAAGTTCGTCAATGATTCGGGATCATTAAATTCGACATTCCCAGTTCTAAATAAGTCCTCTAAGGTTTCTCGCGCTATCACATGTGACTGCCCAAAAAGCTGTTTTAAAATAACCTTAGCTCTCTTATATCCCGCCTGTGGGTCCATTATAAGACAGCCTTCGATCGCATTTTTAGCTTTTCCCTTACAATAATGAATTAAATACAATAAACGCACTTGATCATCCTTGATTCGAGGTTCTATAAACGTCTCTATCTGTCGTATGAACTTAAAATAGTCGCGAGACCTTCCATCAAAATATGAAAGCTCAACCTTAGGTAATTCTAAACCCTCTATCGATGACTTACAATAATAAATATCAGACATAACATGTGGGTTACCCATAAAAAGGTTATTATCAACGACTTGCCTAGAGCCCTGTGATCCGTCGAGCTCTTCCACCCTCCTCACGTGTGATTTTTTTCGGTTTGACATCATAAATAGGATTCAATACGAAAGGTAACAGATACAAAATAGAATAGTTCCAAAATTCAGTTCAGAATTAAGATAAACGATTAAAATTCCAAATGTTTCCTTGTAATTCTTAATAATCCAAATAGATCCGATTATATGCGTTCTGGTAAATATTTCCAAGTATAATTCACGCCAGAAGGATAAACATCAGACTGTAGAATTTATTTCGCAGGCGGCTGCCCTAATCGCGTCCAATAGAAACACACCGGTACGATTCTCCTAGATACCCGTCCCAGCCAAATCAGAAAGCCGAAAATTCTAGGAGAAAACCGTCTCTATTGTTATAAAAAATGGAAATACAGAGACTTACGATGTTTATGTTTCTTCCAGGACTAAATTACTCCGTAGAGTATCTATTACAATAGCTAGTAAGTGACACTAAGTTCAGCAGCCACTGCGTCTATCCAAAAATGTGGCGGTAGCCATATTATATCAAATTTAAACAATATATGTACAATTCAGAAGCAAACACAAAAACTTCAATATAGGTACAAAATATGGAAAGAATAACAATATACAATGGTAAAATCTCAAATTGGAATCAAATAAAATACCAAAAATGTCAAGAGAAAAAGTCCATCATGTCATGGCAAAAATATGTAAACATGGAGGGATTTTCCCAAAAACAAAACATTCAAAAAGAATTCTACATATTTATTCCCAAATAACAGCATGTTACAAGAGGCATGACAGCTTACAGGTTGGTGCAAAAGTTATACAAGCTAGATTAGATACAACAGCAGGTTTCCGAAAGCACATTTACACCATTTCTTTGACAGAACGATTTGATACAGCCACATTTTCAGCAAGTGTATACAAATAGGGAGGGTGGCTATAGAATCTATTTTGAAGGTTTCGTTTCTGGAAAATCCCTCCATGTATATATATTTGTGTTATGATATGACTGAATCTTTCTGTTGATATTTTAGTATTTTATTGATTCCATTTTGAGATTTTATCATTTGTATATTGTTATTGTTTCTATATCTTGTACTTATATTGAAGTTTCCATTTTTTCTTCTGAACTATAAACATGTTGTTTAAATTTGATATTTAATGTGACTACAGCCATATTTGGATTTGATACTCTAGCAGTAACAGACTGGAAGCACTTATTCTTCCAGCAACGGAACCTATCGTGGTGATTGGAAAGTCGAAGGTGTAATATTGTTTTGGTAATAGTCTGTATTTCCCTTCTTGATTAATATAGAACCGTTCTCTCCCAGAATTATCGTTTTTTGGACTTAGACTGGGTGGGACGCTTATGAACCTACACCTTAAAAACGGACTGCAAGAGTAAATTAATAATTTAACAGGTTCACAGTAGGATTCTTAAATAGTCTGCATAATTGAGGAGTGAATTTGTTTTGAATTGTCAACTGGAAAGCTCTTGACACAAGCAGTGACCTAGACGTGCGTGTACATATGGTGCATGTTCCTTAGAGGCGCCATGGGTGTTCCACTTCGAACACGGCTCTGAGAAGGGAAAAAAAGGGGAGGGAAAAAACAGCAACGAGGCAGTTGTATATATACAACCAAAGCACTATTTCAACTTTCATCGTGAGGTAGACAATGCAGTGGTAAGCGAATATAAAATTCATACAGGCCACTAAAATCGGAGTAAATTGTAGTAACAAAGCTTACAAATTAAGGAAATGTTTTGAAGTCTGTCAAGTGGATAGAAGTTGGGGTAAGAAGCTGAGTTTATGTACATCGAAACCGATAGTTCAGTAAGAAGAGTAAAGTTTTTTTTTAAAAAAATCATTTTTTTAATTGTCTAACTTGTTTTTTATCAAATACCAACCTCCAAGTCATCCTTTAAGTGCCTTATTAAGCGCGTTGTGTTCTCCTAATAGAATAGCGACCTCAGCATATTTTTGGAAACATGAGTCTGGAAAGTAGCAAGCGTATAAGAGAAACCACTGTATCATTGAATGGTCACCTCGTCATCGGAAAAAGAGACGAAAGCAGACAAAATGCTCCATCCCTAAAACATGGTCGGATCGATGTCCTGATTATCATGCTACAAAACCTCATTATGGCAAGAAATAAATGGAAACAGTTACCCAGAAGTGTTCCGTCCTGCACCGTTCACTTTTTACAGTATGTTTAGACGATGTTTTAAATGCTCGATGAAAAATAAGGTATTCAGGTACATGTGTACTTCTTGCCTATTTGATGAGTGGGATAATCTTAGGTTCATAAATTTATACAACCTTAGTGATATTTAAACTTGAATCTGCTTTCACGTAGCAATCGCTTATTTAGAATGAATTGAAAAATTCAGTTGTTCAAGTAACCACAGGACTATGAGACTCATTATATACAGAGTGACCTCAAAATCTAGACTTCTCTGACTTCAAACAGTGCGAATGTTGTTTAGAAAATATCAAGTCATTCTGAACCTGATATGCCCAGTCTTTTTATATTAATTAGGCCAATACAACTCAAGCGACTTACCAGACGAGTTTAAAAACCAAGAAGGACCATAGTGATAATAGCATACAGGTTTTCGCACTAAGTGATCGACTCCTAGGACCTCTTATTCGAAGAAGTAGTGTCAACGCCCTAAATCGACTCATTTAAGTGCAAACCAGACACTCATGCGAGTGAATCTGATTCGGAATGTGTAGCTGTACAATACTGTTGGTCGAACGGGGCTTGTTTGCAGGTTCATGTTTCCAAATGAATTACGTCCTGGTGTTTCGAATTTGTTCACAACCATCCATATTCCGAAAAATTTGATATCCTGAGTCATTTAGATGTTATCAAATAAGAAGTCTATTTGATGACCATTAAAGAAGAAGAAGCATTGCATGCAGAACCATAACAATTATCATATGAACCAAAGGAAAAAATTCTCTCTTCTACTAAAAAATGCATCAACTTTGGGTAGCATAGTCAAATAAGTGGAGAACGGTCTTCCCTAAGAAGTCAGTCATCGCAAACAGTCAATGAATAATTAAGAACTAGTTTCCCGTTAACAATATGACGTATTCAGTTTACAACGTTTAGTTTTGTTCATAGGAGGGAATGAATAAATCTTTGTTTCGCCTTTAACAACAAAATGAATCATATGAATAAAATCCAAAACCGGGTATATTTATGCCACGTACAACATAAATAAAGACAGGTAGATGGAAATTAATTGACCAGTGTTTCGGTAGGTTTTTGCTGCTTTTGTTGATGGGTACATATAATTATGGACATAGTCGCATAGTGTGGTTGCGTAGACGATGTAACTGCTGACCAATGATATCAGCTGGATTAGGAGTAGTTCCATCAATATTATGGGGAATACCATTTATCAAAAACAATTTGCTGTGACCCATTTTCAAGCGAAAATGGTGGCTTCCTATGCAGTGTATGAGAACAGCAGCATAATGATATGTTCTGTTCATTTATGTCGTATTTAGTATATCTAAAAGTTCAAAGTATGAAAAAGGGAACCTATTGGATGTAGTTACACAGAGATTCGAAAAACGGTTCCAGGCAGGCAGCCAAAAGGTCAGAAATAATTCAGATTAACATACAGTAATATGGAGTGTAGTTGGATTTTCTACCGTAGCAGTTCAATTCGATTACAATAGGCGTATGTCGAACGCACCCTCCCTTAGTCGAATATCAAAACACAATAATTCTAGGAGAAAGTGGTCTATTTACATAAATAAATGGAAATACAAACATTTACCTGACAATTATTACGCCTTCCAAGTCGAAATTACTCTGATGAGTATCCGAGTTCAAAAGATTAGGTGAAGCTAGTATACTGCGACGACATCAAATCCAAATATGGCTGTAGCCATATTATATATCAAATTTTAAAAACATATGTACAGTTCAGAAGCAAACATAAAAACTTCAATTGAGGTACAAAGTGTAGAAATAATAACAATATACAATGATAAAATCTCAAAATGGAATCGAATAAAATAACAAAATGTCAACAGAAAGATTCAGTCATATCATAACAAAAATATATATACATGGAGGGATTTTCCAAAAAACAAATCATTCAAAAAAGATTCTACATGGAGTTTGATTAAACTCGACTTTTTTTGTGTTCGTCAGGAAGTAAGAGTAATTTGAATAACAACGTAAACAATTAATAAGTCTGAATAATAATGACAGAACAGTTTATCACTGTCACAGAATAAAAGTCATAATCAAAACATAGTTAAAGTGCAAAGAAATGACAAAATTGACCAATAAAATAATGTGGTGGGTTTTTTCAGAGTATTCTTTCCTTCGCAAATAATATTATACCGCATCACAAAAATTTTAGACGATATAGCAATAGATATTTAAATGAGAATAAAAGAAGGAGAAGGGATACGCTTGAGGATTTCTCACATTCCTTTGAGGCAACATAGCATTCGATTCTAGGATCCTATGCTAGCGAAATTTCGAGTGGCTGTATCAGGGATTAAAGACATGAGGGATGAGATGAGGGAAAGGACACCAATTTGTTTTTGATGCAACTTAGTCATAGCCTTATGGTAAATAATTTCATACTTTTAGTAATCGAAATGGTGCTAGACTCACTGAAGCACACCCCAAGAGTATTATTTCTGGTTCAGAAGATAGGATCAAGGACTTTTGTATCATACTGTCGACCTGTGGACCTTTGAAGTATTGTAGTCAGAACGCAGTCAAGAAACATAAAAAATACTATTACAAAATTTTATGGTGATCAAAAACTTAGTAAACATTGCTTAAATTAACTGATATGAAGTCGAAGAATGTATAGAATTGATGAGATGACGTGAGTACTGAGAAACACCAAAATCGAGATCAGTAAAGCGCCTTAAATTAACACATGATAGCTATTTTGGGCAGGAATACGAGAGGCAGAATTAATACAGAGATCAGAAAAATCCACGTTGGCTTACTAAAAACGTGCATACAGACCCTTGAAACGAGCAAATTTCAAGTTGAATTTGACAGAATTAGATCAAAAACTAACAGAAGCGTGTCGAACAGCAGCTGACACAAGTCGTCAGTTTTCTGATCCTAATAGAGATATTTGAAAGCGCAATTTGATTTTGAACAGGTTACAACGCGCGCGGTTCGAATTTGACGTGTCCTTGCTGACTCTCTTCTATTTACAATCCACTTTCGGGATACTTTATCACCTCCGAAGCTATGAAAAGTTTTCTCCATTCATTGGTTGACAATCTGAAAACATATTCGTGCTAACGGAAGTATTCCCAGTCAGAAATATCGCGCGGTTGGTCTAGCTAAATCATTCAACTGCTCTATTTCTAGTTGCTTTGGCAGCATACATACATCCACTCACTCACAAACACAGGACTTGTGGACAAGTTACTGGATACACGCAAAGTTACTTACTAATACGGTCAAAGGTATAGTTGCAATTTCGGAGTACTTTCAGACTCTTTTCCTTGTAGTTATGTTACATACTACTAATTTCTTCTTTCCTTAATCCCTTTTTTGTGTATCTCGTTTTTTAATTATCTCGGTTTCCACCTCCTAATCTCCCTAGTATCATGTCAAGTAATCAGGTCGCTACTAAACATTACACTGTAACAACCAGGAAAAATTATAGAGGAATAAACACCGGGGTCGATAGTGCATCGAAAATCCCAATATCGTGCGTACGGTTTGTTAAAAAACCCAAACAGTCAGTCGA